GTTTTATACCAATGTTTTTTGCATAATTGACCCATTCACTAGGATCTCTTATACTTTACCATTTATACTGAAATGTATACTAAAAACAGCTTGAAGCCTTACATTCAATGTTCATTTCTCACTTTGGAAACAACTCAGCCCAACTTTGGGCTTAGTTTGACATCTTGGCAAATATGCTTCTTTCCTTTATGCCCAGAGCAATATTGACACCACTGTCTGTAAATGTGAAGCTTAGCTTAGCATAAAGACTGGACCAACAACTTCCTTACGTCTACACCACTTGTCTGGCAAGAGCCCCCGACAAGATTTAGGTTTTTGTACAGATTAAACACACAAGATATAACATGTTTATTAGTGAGCTTTAGAGGAGCCGGTAGGTGGATGTTACCTTTGTACGGAGCCTGGCTGTTTCAAGTCTTTATGCTAAGCTAAACTAACTAACTGCTGGCTCCAGCTACATATTGACCTTACAGACATGATTGGTATTAATCTTCTTATCTAACTCTCTGCAAGAGATTGATTAAGTGTATTTTTCAAAATGTTAGTGTAATATTTAGGAAGATCTGTTGGAAATATGTGGGATATATAATATTCATAGGTATATTTTCATTAGTATATAATCACCTGGAAATATGAATTGTGTTTCCGTTACCTTAGAATAAGACGTTTTTATCTACAGAGGGAGTGGGTCCCAAACACTGGTAGATAGGGCCTTTCAGGTTTTGCCGCCACCATAGTCTCTCCTACACACTCAGAAAATTGCGCTGATAGTTGAAATCTGCAACTTAACTACTAGATGCCACTTAATCCTACACACTGGTCCTTTAAGCCAACATGTGAGAGAAAGAGTTCAGAAAAACAAACATTTTAACATCAATAATTCTATTAAAACTGAGCAAGCTCCATCTGCTGAGACAGATTGTGTGATATTATCCAAAGCTCCTGACAGCTTCTTAATGGACCTTATGGCGAGACTGTTTTGTCGACTAGCTTGAAGCTGCTTTTGCGTTTATCATTGTCAGTTCATTGGCAAAAATGTAAACTGTGCTTGTATAAAGTCCGTTTTGTCAGTTACAAAAGGTGTGGGTGTGCATCTCCGCCTGCATCCTGCGGAATTACGTCTGGAATGAAGACAGTTTTCTTTGACCCATCCCACAAGCTACCAAATGTGTCTGTACTTGTCCACAGGGATCATGTTTTACTCTACAAGTAGCTCTTGTTCTTGTTTCTAAACAAAAAGGCCTGTGGCAAACTGTAATCTTTGCTGATAAATCATAGACACAACCCTAGCATTAAAACCAAAACACAGAGGCTTTGTTGCAAGGAAAATCATCCAGAGCTCCACCTTAGTTCTGTGGCAAATACAGCGCACCACACACCTGTAATTGCATTTCTATTTTTTCTTACTTAGCATAATTTTCCCTCTTGTTCTAAGAAACAAAGTCAAATCCTATCACAGGAAAACAATTATGGAGTGTTTTCCACCAACTGGCACTACTTTGAGCATATAGAAGTCAACTGAGTCAAGAACAAACCCTTCCAAGACACAATGTAGTAATTGTTTGGCACAGGAATTAAAGCCCTGGAAGAAATGCTGTTTTGGGGATGTTGTTTTTTATTTGCTTTCTTTTAACTACAAAGTCTGCCAAAATAACAAACGTACAAACAGAAAGACCCACTCGGCTGTGTGATTGTCTATCTAGAGAACATAAGCTGGAGTTACACATACAGGAAAATTGATTCTTTCGGCCGTGCTGGTGGTCATTACTCTGAGCTTGCAGTGCGACCACACTGCAGGTTATCTGACTTGACAAACAAATCCAGGAAAAGCACATTCATGAGTAGCCTAATCTTTTGAAATCTACTTACAGAACATTCTGCGAGGCTTGAAACCAGACATGTACAGAAACACATAACAGGAAGATCATATTTTATATGTGCACTCAGGGTGGCATACACCCACAAACACATTACATAACAGCTGTTTTTCAATGAAGCGACATGTTAAGGCCAGTTATGTTACATGTGATGTACGTATGAATGGCATGCTTAAGAAAATATTATTTTTTCAAGGCTATACTACGCCCATAATCGCAGCTGGTTTCCCCCCTTTCTATGTTTAAATAAATGCCAGAAATTGGCAACAAAGAAAACAACAAGTGTGTTTTCCATGAGCACAGGGTCAGTCTAGTGGGATGACGTCAGGCAGCGGGGCTCAGGGTCTCTGTTCCTCAGAGTTCAACATAGCAGTTACAATCTAGCTAAGGGGAGGAAACTGTTTCAAGTTATTCAAAAATTATGCAACTGACAGTTAGCTCAGGGTTAAAAACAATAAACGGACACAAGGTTGCCCTAGTACCACCTAAACCCCACCCACCTGAGCAGTGTTGATGGCAGAGCTGGCTTGAGTGAGTCATCAATCATTGCTTTTTTTGAAAATTCAAACTGACCTGAGGTGGGGCAATATTTTTGGCAACTTAATATGATTTTTTTTTTAATGACGTCAGGCAGATGTAAAAAAATAAATAATAAAAAATAAAATGGCTTAACTTCTCTTGATGCCAAACCTTGTCTTCAAGAAGTTATGTTTATATAAGTAATAACTAATTCACAATAGAAAACATGTTTTGAGGGAAATGTAACGCTGACAGAATTACGTTTACACAATGAGGAAATGTTGGTGCTCCTGAGCTGCTTTAGCTCGGCGCAGAGAGGATGAGAGGGGTTGTTCATGATGGCTTTTAGCTTCCCTCTCAGTCACTGCCTCCACACTGCCCGAATCCATCCCCGCCACCGAGCTGCCCTTCTTCACCGGCTTGCTCAGTCAGTTTGTTGCACCACAAGTCCTGATGCCTCCTCCCCAGCACACCACAGCAAAGAAGATAACACTGGCCACTACAGACTGGAAGAACATCTGTAGTAGCTTAGTGCACAAAGACCTGAGCCTCCTCAGAAAGAACAGCCTGCACTGTCCTTTCCTGTAGAGGGCCTCAGTGTTATCCGTTCAGTTTATTGTTAAGCTGCACCCCCAGGAACTTGTAGGTGTCCACCATCTCTACCCTCTCCCCCCCTCACAACTCGGAAGGGGGGCCTCTTGTTGCACCAGAAGTCCACCACCAGCTCCTTGGTTTTCCCTGTGTTGAGCTGTAGGTGGTTGCTGTCGCACCATCCTATGAAGTTCTCGATCAGGTCTCTGTACTCCTCCTCCCTATCATCTGTGATACAGCCGACAATGGAGGAGTCATCTGAGAACTTCTGTAGGTGGCACGCTCCCGAGTTGGAGCAGAAGTAAGAAGTGTAGAGGATGTTGAAAAACAGTTTTAACTCGTTGGCACATCCCTTTGTCCCCTCCACTGAACCTACTGACCTTTTCATGCCAGTAATGCTCCTCATCCCCCCCACACACCTCTCTTGTGCTGGTCTGTTGCAGCTTCCCCTCTATCTTGTTCTTGTAACAGCTCCCTTTGTATGTCTTTCTTGGCATCTTCATTATCTCCTGCCATCTCCTGGTGATCCAGGGCTTGTTGTTGGGGAAGCAGCAAATGAGTAGGTTCAGGTTCATTAACAAACTTTATTATCATTCATTATAAATCAAAGATGTAGTTGAATTTCTTCCTTGCTCACCAACTGAGGCTCTGCACAACAGCATTGTGCTGCCACTTGTGGTTGAAGGCTTTATTGCCACAATACCAATATTGGATCATTGGCTGTAATTGATACAGCTTTAAACCTTAAGTATGTCGAGCAGATTGACTGTCCACAGTTACAGCTCTATGAGGGATGCAGAAGAAGTGCTTCCTTGTGTTTCTCACTCTTTTTTGTGTGAAAATTTTTTTCCAATAAGGTTTCCTTTCTGGTCCACCAAGGGTTTCTTAAATTAACAGCTCACAGTGGGATTACACATGTGGGAGATTTGAGCATCTTCGTTTTCTTTCTTAAGATCCAAAAGTCTGGACAGAGAAATGTCTGATTCCAGCAGTTATAAACAAACAGAGCCACACAAAGTGAATAATCACATGTTTTGTTTTGCAGTTAAGTCACAAGACCTGCCATCACATCAGGGACACTGGTGTCGTCACTGTTTCTCCGCAGGACATTGTGTTTATTTGCTTTTGATTGAAACTAAATTTGTTAAAGGTCTGAATATAAATGGCCTGATAAAATGTTCTTAGAACAAACTGGTGATATAAACAATATCTTCAACCATATGGTTTTTCTAAGAAATACAATACTTCATTAACAAATCATGCTTTTCATTTTTCCAAAGACGATGAATTTTAACTGAGACTGACTTTTTGTCAGTAGGATACCTGACAGGTTTACTAATAAACATGACATTTTGTGAACTGACCAGCATTAAACCTGGGAACAACTGATTTGACATTTTGTTGGTTTTTATCCATAATTATGGAACAAAGTCTTTTACAAAGTCTTTAACCCAAATCAATCCTGTTATGAGACCATTGTCAGGAAATCAATTTAGCTTAACCTTTAACTTAATTCGGGTGTTGGAGTATTAAGCAGGAATGTCTTTTACATACATAATATTTTATTATCATCATCATGTTTATCTATATATTTTATTATTTTACTTTAACTGGTTTTACTGTCTGCCCTACGAAGCACTTGGTAGATTATTCTTAATATTTTAATTATTCTACCTTAGTTTTGTGGCACTTTTAAGATTAGCTGCTATGTAAGGGATGAAAAATATGGATATCTCTTGATACAATCTTCAACTAACTGCCCAGAATATAATGTGAACACAACACTAAACCCACATGTTGTTTTTTGTTTTTTTTTACTTCATAATATTTAACCATGTTGTACAAGATATGCTGTGAGTTTAGGTTAACCTCTGTCTGGTGGTGTTACAAAATATGTCCAAGGTCTTTCCTGAACCAGACTAAACAGCTGATGAGGGCTGTGAGGTGAAATGAAGGGGAGGGACTGAACCTTGTAGGAAGCTTGAAGGCACAGCCTTATTTCAATGAAGTCACTGGTATCTGTTGGTTGCCTTTATCTCTCTGTCCTGGTGAGTGAAATCTGCTTCTGTCTTACAAAGGTAGCTGAGGATCTGACAATAAAATACCTGCTGTGTTTACCGAAGCCACATGCTCTGCGGGGATGGACGTTTTTTGTTAGAAGTTGGTTTTAAGATAAGGTGCAAACGTTTTTTGTTTTTTGACTATGTTGGCCGGGCTTATAAGTGCACATAAGTTTCCTGCTCTGGACTGGAAATACTGGCGTTAGTTGTTTCACTCGTCTTGAACTGCGCTCGAAGGACATAATGAATAATCAATCAATGACAGGGAGGACCATGGTCCCGACCATTCCGTCTATTATGTTCATTTTCGGGGTGGTTGGGAATGTCATCGCCATCGTGGTTCTTTGTAAAACTCGCAAAGAACAGAAAGAAACCACCTTTTACACTCTGGTGTGTGGACTGGCAATCACGGACCTGCTGGGCACGCTGCTAGCCAGTCCGGTCACCATCGCCACATATGTGAAAGGATCCTGGCCCGGAGAGGACCCGCTGTGCCAATACTTTGGATTCACTCTGCTTTTCTTCTCTCTGGCGGGACTCAGTATCATCTGTGCCATGTCGGTGGAGAGGTACATCGCTATAAACCATGCCTACTTCTACAATGACTATGTGGACCAAAAACTGGCGGGTTTGACTCTCTTAGCGATCTACATCTCCAACGCACTTTTCTGCGCTCTGCCGATTATCGGCTTCGGACAGGTGAAGAAACAATACCCGCAAACTTGGTGTTTTTTAGAGTGGAGGAGCAACAAGACCAGCGATGCCGCCTACTCCTATATGTATGCTGGGTTCAGCTCTCTCCTTATTCTCGTCACTGTTATATGTAACGTGTTGGTGTGCGCGGCTTTGATTCGGATGCACCGGCGTTACGTACGCAGGATGTCTCTGGGAACCGATCTGGGGCGCAACGTGGACCCGCGGAGGAGAGGACGCAGCTTTGGGCGTCTGGCCGGTGCAGAGATTCAGATGGTCATTCTGCTGATAGGCACGTCGGCAGTGGTGCTTATCTGCTCCATACCACTTGTTGTAAGTTGTTTTTTCTTCTTTTTACGCACGTTTTACGCACGGCTCTTTTACGCACAAATGCATTTTGATCCAAATACAAGTGGATATAGTACTATACTACTAAGTACTATATACATTTTCCTTGCCTTTTCATGGCACTACTCTCGTACGCTCATCTTAGCTCATTCTATCAATTACGCACGTTTTACGCACGTTTTTGTAACGCAAAAATGTTATTGTTGTTCATGGAACAATGCGTTCATGCAGTTTGCATTTGAATCCAAGAGGGTGATCAGAAACAATTTATCAATTACTTTTCTTTCCCTGCTCTTTCTTCTCTGCTGTTCCAATGCTCCACATTTGTATTAGTGTCTTTCTCATTGTCTATCTACTCACCCTGTATTCTTCCTTCCCTTGCAGGCTCAGGTGTTTTTAAACCAGCTTTATAAGACTCCAGTGGAACTACGGTTGGACAAAAACCCTGATCTACGAGCGATACGCTTTGCCTCCTTCAACCCCATTCTTGACCCCTGGATCTACATCCTGCTCCGCAAGGCTGTTCTCCTCAAGCTCATCGAGAAAATCAAGTGCTTATTTTGCAAGATAGGAGCACGGAGACAGCAGAGACAGGGAAACTTCAACTGTATAGATGCTCAACAACTATCCTCTGTCACTTTTAAGCGAGACTCAAATTCTATGGTTTCCCATGACCTGCGAGACATCACCAGCAGCTCCCAGACCTTCCTTTACCTGCCAGAGGGGAGTGAGGTGTACACTGGAAGCTGTCATAAAGCAGACAGACTCTCTGGTTCACAACCTACATCGGTCAGAAACTCGCAAGCTTCTTATTCATCTGAGCAAGGAAGTGTTGAGGCTCAGAGTAGACAAGGAACAAATGCAATCAGGGACCTTTCAGCCCTGCCATGCCCAAAAGACCCAGCACTTCAGGTGTCATTAAGCACTGAGACAGTGGAGGAGAAATGCATCTGACTTAACTTTAAATTAGAAGACAGTTCTCAGATCGCTCTGAGGTAGATTGTCTACTGACATGACTTCTCCAAAAGTGAACTCTTAAACTTCTGAAAACTGGGGGGAGGCACATAAATATAATAAATGTCAAGTCGGGCACATGAAGCAGCAAAGAAAAAGAAAAGTGCTGTGAGCTTTATTGTCCTGTGGTCTTTGTTTCAGCACCCAGCTACCTCAAGTCATTTCTGTCTCTGACTGTTTGAGCAGATTCTATAATTTCTACAAGAACAGATGTTGTTCGAACAGAGATGACCCACTTATTCATGACTCAAGTGTCAGTGACGGAAAAGATACCCTTGCTAATTTCAGCTACTTTGTTCAATCGTTGTGGAAATCTTTACTGTAAACTAGATGAAGCCAGTAGTTTAGAATAATTGAGTCACAATCTTGTGGTCAATATGGTAAATGAAAACAGTATTGAATGTGATCCGTATGAGTAATCACTGGCATGTGTGCTGCCATTGTAAGAATTGATTTGTTTAACAAACTCTATTGTGCAGTGCTTTTTGAAGGACATATTGTGTTAGTTCCATGACTAATATACAGTGCAGTATTATTATGTGGTGAACACCAACGTTTTTATTCCTCAGCCCTGGAATACACACAAATATGTCATCTCAAATAATTGTTTTCCATCTTACAATGAGGGTACAAATATTCCTGTGCCATAGTTATTAATACCAAACTATTTAAAATCTGACTGGGAATGTTGAACGTTTTTTCCGCAGCTCCAAAAAGTGTGGTGTAAAGCAGTGGACAGATGTTGCTTAATATGGAGTTTTAGGATGAAGATATTTAAACACACCTTGAGAAAAATTGGTGTTTAAAATGATCAATGTTGTGTAAAATATTGTTTGTAATAAAATTATTCTTCTCTAAGAGAAGGTTCTAGTTAATAAATCGCAACTCTAAAGGGACTATCTACCCTAAAGAAGTATTTGTGCTCATTTATTAAATATATAACACATTTATTTTGGTCAGTACTCATGAATCGCTATCTTCCAGCACTAACATCCAGACTCAAATAACTAGACAGCTTATTTACAACTTCTAATTATTATTTTCGTTCGCAATTATTATTGTTATTGTTCCTTCTTAATCAATTAATTGCTAATTGAAGTCAGTCAGAAAAGTGTGATAAATATACCCATCACAATTTATTGAAACAGGTGACATCTTCAAATTGTTTGTTTTGTTGAACCAGCCATTCAAAATCCAAATATATTTAGTTTACAGTGACATAAAACAGAGAGAATCACAAATAACTAATATATATATATTTTAATACCTAACAAAAGTTTGGCATTTTTGCTTAAAAGCGACACAAACAATTAATTGCCGGGAGTCGACTTATTGTTTTGGCTCTAGTATCAATTAGACAAAAAAATCTAAAGTAACGTAATTCTAAATCCCTAAAATGAAATACTCAAGTCTGTAAAAGTATTTATTTTGGAAGGAATGATGATTCATGTTATCCTCAGGTCAGTTTTTGGTTCCTTTTCTGTGCCACATTTTTTCCAGTGGCAGAATTCTCCTTTTTAACGACTTATAATGTTAAATTGACACCTTCAGCTGCTGTCTTGCCAAACTACATAATAGACTGAACTTTTGAACTCTTTCCACTCAAAGGAGCTTTATGTCTTAATTTCAGCAGCTTGAAAGCACACAGTCTATCTCCTTTTCTCTGTTATTAAATCGGCTCCAGATTGTTGCTTAATGTCCAGGATTACATTCTTGCCTTTCTTCTTTCTCTTGCTGCTGTTAATTTTAGACAAGCTTGTTCGTGTACATAAATGCTGATAAATTACACCCCTCAAGAATGTACCGTTTAACGATATTTAGTTAAACACAGAGTTTGACACACTAGTGGCCTATTACACAATGTCTTTGAGTTAATTTTTTAATCCAGACTTAAAATTATGCACTTTATTTTGTATTTTGTTTAAATGTGAAATTAAATCTGTGGAACTAAAGTTCAGCATTGTTTTTTTATTAGCTGTTTTCATATCTGTAAAGAATTGCAGCTGTTATAACTGAGAACTTAAGTGTGTTCAGTTATACAAACGTGTACATTTTATAATGCAGCTGTAAATTAACACACACACTATGATTTCACAGCAAACATGAACTTTGACATGTCGTTATATGTTGTCAACATAAAGCGGAAGCTAATAATATAAGCACCAAGTTTCTCACACTCTTGGTTTGGTGAGATCATCTCATGACCCCCATTAGCACAGACAAACGGCCCTGAGAAGAGCACTTTTCCAAAGTTTATAGAAAAATAAACGACAATTTTACACTCTGGGGTAAAGTTACATAAAAATTAAGATTTAGAGAAATTAAGAAGTGTACAGAAAAAGTCTCTTGGTAATGTGTCCAATAGCTAATGCCAGACATACACAGAAACAGAGAAAAACAGAGTCTTAGTCTGATGGAAAAAAAATCAGGGTCTCAGGAAGTAGACCTGGCCGAGAGAGCGTCTCTCCTGAAACAATAAACACAATCTAAGGCTCCAGTTCATTGCAATTAAGCTTAAACAAGCAATGCAGTGGCTTAGCCAAACACATTGCAGAATGACAGAGTGTCAGACTATTCTCTGGGAACAACAGACATTAATTGCATTAAATTGATTAATTGCATTAAAAAAATGGGATTGTACAGTAGTGGGACTCTGTGATGCATGGAGTAAGCCCTCCACCTCTTGGCAATTGTATCCTCTTTGCTCTCACCCGGGTCTGTTGTACCTCATTAAATGGATAAATGGATAAACAGTGAGGCTGATATTTAATGCCTCTCTGAACTCTTAAAAACAAGTCTAACACAAATCTTTTCAAACAATCAGTAGTAAATGAGGATTATTTGTTTGGATATGTTAAGATTAAAGGTGCATCCTAAATCATATACAACTTGATATGAACGTTGTTACAACAGGAGAAAACCTGTGAAGCTGCTTTACATCAACAGGGTCCGTCAGTGACTCAGGCACCCTGTCCCCTCTGTGCTTATTGATAAACGGCAGAAAACACCTGCTGCTCCTCCACGTCTGCTGTCACCCTCAGTTGAAAAGGACACTAGACAATCCCAGTCTGGAGAGATGCCAGAGCCAAAGCGGAACTGGTGCAGGAACTGATGTCTTATGGTGGTATAAGAGTCAGTGCTTCTTCCCCTCGAGTGATGGAGATAATGGGAGTGAAATGTAAGAAAACATGATCCCCTACTACAGTGTGTACAGTGCAGTTTCTCTCACATTAGTGCGAAGATCATCCTTTGTAGCCATGACGCCCATGAAGCCGTATGATCTTATTGCTAATGTCCTAAAGGATTCCTTGTTTGGTGATGCATTTGAAAGCTTAAAGGGTACAAAAATATAAGCAGATATTTTTGCTTTTGTTTTCCCAGGATCTGAGATTTCTGCTGTTACCACAGACCGTTTTGATTGGGACTATTTTGTCTGTAGAAAGTAGTGCCAAAGAAAGCTGTTCACACAGTGACGTCTGTGGATTATCCAGAGCAACAGGGGCACTGTTTCTGTAAAGACATGATTTTTATGATTCAATTTTGATCATTTTAATTCCATTCACCTTCACTGTATTAAGGTCGTGTCTCAGAACAGATATCTCTTCATTAAAATCAGTGTCCCAATTAGACTCAGGTCCCTGTTACTTGCCTGGTGTGGCTACATGTTTGACAAACACAGGTCTCAATTAGATTCCTGGTCTGGATTTTATAGAAATTCTTTGGATGTACAAAACCTCTTAAGATCCAGTTTGCCTGCTTGAGCAAATTATGAGATGCTTAGATGCTGCTTAAAAGGAAGTTTTTCCTTGCCAATGTCGCCAAGTGCTTGCACGTGGTAGGAACTGTTTGTTCTCTCTAAAAAAATAATTAACGAGTACAGTCTAGACCTACTCTATTTGAAAAGTGTCCTGAGATAACTTTTGTTATGAATTTGTGCTATAGAAATAAAATTGAATTGACTTGAATTGAATTAGATCTCCTACACAAATACAAATGATTAAAATGTGTCAGTATGGACCTGCTACACATCGTTAGATTCTCCACAAATCAATCGTTCAGTTCATTTTACGGAAACCATGAGCACCAAAGTATCAAATGATCAATGATTCATAATTGATATGTTATATTTGTTTTAAACAAGTAATATTCATACTGGTTTAAATAAACAATTTGATAGTATTCACTTTGCTGAGCAAAAGAAATCAAAGGCCTGTCCCATATAGGCACCTGTTCCAAATGAAGGCAGGTTGAATTCAGTGATTGAAGCTATTAAGGCGATTAATTTAAGTTTTAGATTATTTGCATTTATAGATCATTTTAAAGGTAAATAAGAAATTATGTTTTTGTAATTTGAGTGAACTGACCCTTTAACTCCAACACAAAACCAAAAGGGTAAAAATGAGGAACTCCACAGTTGTGTCTTCCCTGTTTGTATAAGAGGAAAATGCTCACAGCTATTGGCATTTAGGTATTATGTATATAGTTTATTTTTAATTTATTCTAATAAAATGTAAATGATAAATGTATTCTAATCTATCTTATCTTAATTAACTATTTGTTGAGTTAGGGAAACCTGTCCACTCGCTGCAACAAAACACAAAATCAGTGAAACAGATAAACTCAAAATCAATGTTTTGTTTTGTTTCATTATCACATCTATGTTTGAATCTACTAACATTTTCTGAAGTATTTTGTGTTGCAACCCAGCTTAGAGCTGCCTGGCCGGGTGTTCAGCCTGGTATAGAGGACGGCAATGTGAACAGCTCCAGGCTAGGAATTAGGCACCCTCCTGACTCTGTTAAATCCCACAAAAATATACAGTATATGTAGAGCGACTTATTTCAAAGATTTTAAAGCAGAATTATGTACACCAGCAAGTTCCCATGAAATCAGCAGCTAATTGGTAACTTTGATCTCCACTGTTATATAATACCCGCACAACTAGGAAACATTTAACCACATGAAATGACCTATCAGACAACTAGCCAATTAGACACAGATATATGGATAGATATACAGATATATGTTCTGCTTTTCAATAGGAAGTGAAGTTTTCCAAAAAATAAACAGCCTTACTGGCGCTCTGAATTCTGAGTAGATTAAACGATTTACATATCAGATTAAAAGCGTTTTGCCAGGAAGTGTATTGTTTTTCCAGAAGAGAGTTGTCCAATAGAAACGAAAGCATTATAGCATCTGTTGATGGTGCTGCTGATGTGTGTGTGTGTGTGTCATTTTGTGTGTGTGTATTCACAAGAGTCAGATTTATCAAAGCATTTTCCACAGTTCACAGAAGGTCAAATACGTTCTGGAGGTTCACTAAGTCAGTAATATTCATTTACCTCCAAAGAAAATATCTTTGCGTGTACAAACTACATATTAGTGAGGAAATAGGTTGCAGGAAGTTTCACATTAACAATTGAAATCAATGAGTCACCTGACATTTGCTCTGCACCTCCCACACTCAGGTTGTTTAAGTTGTTCAAGTTGTTACCTCCCCTGACTTTATACTAAGCTTGTTGGCTGCTGGAAGTAAACATGAAGGCCACTGAAGACAACATGTGTGGTTTTATAATTAATGATGTGCACTGAAAGCCAGCGAATTTGTGAGAAAGTGAGGACAACGATTAGGAGAAAGAGAGCCAGATTTTTAAATGATGGCTTTGTTTGGAGCAATGGCTGCTACCTCTGTACGGTCTCATTCTTCCTCCTCCATCGCAGCTGTGTTTGAATTCACGAAATGACTCCCACCAGTGTAGAATTTTGATGAATGTCAATCTATAGTGACCTAAAAGTCATATGACTGCTCACACCGAGATCAAATTGCAAAAAAACAGACCTCTATCTGATTTAGACCACATGTGAAAGTGACCCAAAAAATCTGACTGATTTGTGCTGCTCACACTGTTATGAAATAAATTTATCTGAGTCACACATAAGAGAAAAAAAATCTGAATTGAGTCACTTGCCTGCAGTGTGAGACAAGACAGTATCTTTTCCAAAATGTCAAACTATTCCTTTAACATGAGTTTACTAATGCAGCACAAACAGGTGAAAACAACTTAATCACTTAACAAAAACAGCCACTTCATTAATCATTTACCGATGTCATAACTTCAGAAAGAGGCAGCTTCAAAGTTGTTTGTGTCAGATTTGAGCACAGAATGTAATGGTACACAGTTTAACCGCAGTTTCAGGTCCACAGAGAGGTGTTCCAACAGAAAGTCACGTGTTCACACACATACTGGAATCCAGCAGCGTTTCCCAGCACGCACTGCTGTCGCTGCCAACTCAGTCAGTGATTCTTGGAGCTCTCAGCATATTTTTTAAGTATGTTACTCCTTCATTTGTCAAATAATCATTATCCCCTGTAATCACTTATTGCCTGCTGAGTAAAAGTCCACCTCATCATTTCTCTGCCATCAATTATTTATTTCAAAACGAATTAATTTGACTATACAGAGCTTCTCCAGATACTGTATTTGAGTTGCTGCTCTGCCTGGGAATCAGATTACTGCTTTCACTCTGAGGTTTTCTAACAAATGGTGCTCTGAAACAGTGCTGATAGCTTTAATGCTGCTCATATCCTGATGTGTTTTAAGAGTTCAGCACATCATAACTCAAACCCAGTCTCTCTGTGTGCCAGCGTTGGTAGTGACCAATATATCAAACTAATTCATTAATCACAGGCTGTATGAAAGCAACTATGCCTATGAATCATAGGGTCTTTAAAAACATACGTAAATGTGTAAAGTGTATTGTTATTTTCATTTGACTGTTGGATTATTTAACCAAACCTTCGTTATTTTGCCCTAATGCTACATTTTAGTCAGTAACAAATAGTGACATGTTCATTTAAAAATAACTAGAGTGGATTATATCTGTTTAAAACCATATTTTAAATTGGGTATGTAACTCCACAGTAACACAAAAAAACA